CGTTTCCAGACTAATTAGAGACCAGGTCCCGATTCTATTTCTGAACGTCTCCTGTTCACGTCCAGTCAAACGAACTATTTTCAACGTTTCTGAAACGTTTACAATCGTTCTATAATCGAACCAATATTCGAATTTTATGTTCGAATTCAAATTCGAATATTGTTCGAATTAAATTCGAACAATTTTCGAATTTGAATTCTAATAGCTGCAAGGACCCGCTTCGCTGGGTTTTTATTTGTGGGCAAAAAGTAACGATAGTGAAGATTAAGATAATTACATTATAGTCAATCTTACCCGTTTTCACAGAATGCAAGAATTAGGTCCCCCATTTCCGCACTAATTAGAGAACTTTTACGTCCAGTCAAACGAACTATTTTCAATTTGATCAATTTTCTGGAACGTTTACAATCGTTCTATAATCGAACCAATTCGAATTCGAACATTTTTAAAATCGAAATAGAAAATTTTCCACTTTCAACCACTTTCAAGTCCATATCTCCCGCACCCTTTTAGCTATCGAGACGCAACCACCATAGTGCACGAATTGAGACTTGGTGCTACTACCACATACAAACATCATTCATGTGAGATGTGTAGTTTTGGCTGAAAAGTGAAATATAGGGACACACACGTCCATTTATATATATAGATATAGATAATTCTTCTGATAATTTAGAATTTTTTTTATAGCGATAAGAATAAAATTAACTACAAGATGATGAGCCCGGCGTTGCACGGGAAAATGATTCGATAAATATCGTTTGGAAATTAAGTTATTTCTATCAAAAACAAAAAATCGCATCTAAAATAGTACAATAGTAGCTGTTTTTCAGGTTAAGCCTTAATCCTCTTTCTCTCCCCCCGCGGGGGAATTTCCAAAAATCCCTTTTTTAGTGTGTATTTTCATGATGTACCCTAACTGTGTACCCAATTTCATCTCTAGGTTCAGCGGTTTTCTCTGGGCGATGATGAATCAGTCAGTCAGTCAGGACATAATTTTATATACTGTATATAGATAGCCAGTTGAACGGCCCGATGCAGGCATCAGGGCATACTAAATAGACATTTTCAGTATTAAAACGTGTAAAAAATTATTTACGAAACTCACTGAATGAATCAAAATTAAATTCTTTAGCTGTTTTATACATCAAACAAAATGCTTTGAATAATATTAATTATTTATCGATAATTTTGCTGAATTAAAAACTAGAAAACAGAATTTTTAAATAAAGTTTATTCATATTTATATACTTACTTTTTTAAAACTATCTTGGCTTTTATTTAAATTATCTTTTTCATTATTCAATTTA